TTAGTAAGAGATGTCTAGCTGATTAAGCCACATTTGATAGAGCCAATGAGATAAATCAGTGGGTCCAGCCCCATCTGATAGAGCCAATGAGATGAGAATAATCAGTGGGCCCAGACAATCATCAACTGACAACTAGATTTTAAAAATTATGAACCTTCGGAGCAGAAAGGCCAACGGCCTGAGGAGCAACATGCCTAAGTTTTATTGTGACTACTGTGATCCATACCTCACCCACAATTCTCCATCTGCGAGGAAACCACACTGCAGTGGTAGGAAACACAAAGAGAATGTGAAAGACTACTATCAGAAATGGATTGAAGAGCAGGCTCAGAGCCTGATTGACAAGACAACCGCTGCCTTTCAACAAGGGAAGAGACCTCCTACTCCATTCTCTGCTCCTCCTCCTGCCGGGGCAATGATCCCTCCTTCCCCCAGTCTCCTGGGTCCTCCTCGCCCTGGCATGATGCCAGCACCCCATATGGAGGGCCCTCCCATGATGCCAACAATGGGCCCTCCTCCTCCTGGGATGATGCCAGTAGGACCTGCTCCTGGAATGATGCCCATGATGCCTGGGCCCCCAGTGATGAGACCTCCTGCCCGGCCCATGATGGTGCCCACTCAGCCAGGGATGACTCGGCCAGACAGAGAAGGATGAAGGGAGGCTTCTTTATGTCAGTTTTATATTAACTTGTTCTACTTCACCAGGAGATCATGGTGCTCTGACTCTGGGTGTTTCTAACAGCATGTCAGGGAAGACTTCCCCCTTCCTATTAAAAGAAATTAAAAATAAGAGTAGTTTTGGAGGAGAGAAGTGAGATGAAAAAGTACAGTTTTCATTTGTACTGTGAAATGTGAAAATAATAAAATCGTCAACTGTTTTAGTTAAACAACAACAACAAAAATTATGAGCCCTGAACCTGGCACCTTGCTTTCTCTCCTTCCCTTTCTCTCTCTGATCAAATTTAAATAAATAAATAACAAATGGAATTAAATAAGTAAATAATTCTTTTAAAAAAATTATGAACCTTGGGGTCAGCAGGTGATGTGGTAGTTAAGGTATTGTACTCCCACATAGCCAGCCGTGGTTCAAGACCCAGACCTGGTGGCTTA